TGCATTATCTTAGTGTGTTTTAAGCATGATTTACGAGTGTTTAATGCATATTTCGTGTTTAGATCGAGGATACTGCTGTTGTTTGTGTTCTTATATGTAGGTATTGGCTCAAGATTGAAAGATTTGATGATCGTTGGAAGTTTTACAAGAGTTTGAAGCAACAACAAGATTTTGAAGGCATGGTTCGTGAAGAAAATGAATGCACGAGTATGAAGAACTAGAATTTCGACCATGATGCAGTTTGAATCAAGAAAAAGTCAAAAGATTAAAGTTGTAGATATCTTCAACAGGATTCCAATACAACTTGAATCACCTCATTCCGAGGTCGGACGCAAAAGTTATAGCCAAAATACCGAAAACTAAAGAAACAAGCACAAAATCAGCAAAACAGCCCCTACCACACCCTGGTGTGGTGCAGACCACACCGGTGGCGCGGGAATTAGTTATTTTCCAGATTTTTGGAGACATATAAATAGATGTTTTGACTTAGGGTTTTGGATATCTTTTGTTATGTTCTTTTAGCCATCAACTAGCAACTATTTTGGAGTTCAAGTATTGAAGAAAGACACTAATTTCTTGTGCAAGATTGGATTGCAAGTTTTGGTTTTGAAGATCTCAATTGAAAGAAGGGTTAATTCTTTCCTCTCTTTGATTTATTTCTTCTTATGATTGATTTGCATAATTATTGGATGTATTCTCTTATTCCAATCATGTGTGAGTAGATTTCTTGTCTAGGGTTGGGAAAGAACCCAACTTTTTGGTGATTGATGATGAATTAATATATGTTCTTGGTGAAAGTTTAGATCTTTAAACTTGATTTCTAGTGTTTTAATCTTGTTGATTCGCTTGATCACCGTATTAGCAATCATAGGTAATTAATTGAAGGACTGAAAGGTGAAGATTAATACCGGATCTCTAGAAATTAAGCAGGGAGCTCGAACCACGAAAGTAGGCTAGATTCCTTGGGGATTTGATTTGGATTAGCATAAAGCTTAATGGGTTTAATTTAATCTTGATTCCACGAAAGTAGGTTAATTGAGATTGATTAGGCACGATCTTTAGACCTTGAAAGAGGCTTTAGATTAATTTAGGCTAATTCACCCTCTTTAGTTTAAACCAACACTGAGAACTAAAATAATTCATCATTGAGCATCGAAGTTGTGGTAAAAACCCAATCCTGGCTCTTCATTATATTGAATTCCACCTGATTAGTTATTATTTTATTTCTTTTAATTTTCATCTCTTCTAATTCTAAACCAACACCAAGAATTGAAATAATCCATCATTGAACACCTAAGTTGTGGTGATAACCCAATCCTAGTCCTTCATTATATTGAATTCCATCTGATTAGTTGTTTATTTTATTTCTTTTATTAAATCTCTTCTAATTTACTCATTGATTTAGCTAGTCGAATAACGTGAGATTTGGTAATTAACCCTAGTCCTTGTGGGATCGACCTTGATAGCTACAACGAGTCTGTGCGCTTGCAGATTTTGCCTATCAAGTTTTTGGCGCCGTTGCCGGGGACTACGGTGTTAATATTGAGTGCTTACGAGCTAGACTAGATTTTTTTTATATATATTTCTCTTTGCTTCTCACTTTCTTTTATGCAAGGGAATCAAACAGAAGTAAACGACGAAAACAATCCTGAACTATCGGTGACTCTTGCAAACATAAGAAAGTCTATAAGGGAGCAAAGGAACACAGAACAAGCTACGATGGGAGATCAAAATCAGCTTCTTAAGGATTTCGCAGCCCCAAATTCTCAAGGCACACAGTCAAGCATTACAAGGCCCAATGTTGAAGCTAATAACTTTGAGCTGAAACCATCACTGCTCTTAATAGTTCAGCAGAATCAGTTTGGAGGAGGTGCTACTGAAGACCCGAACCTCCACCTATCGATTTTCTTGGAGTATTGCGACACTTTGAAACTTAATGGAGTGACCAATGATGCTATTCGACTCAGATTATTTCCGTTCTCTCTAAGGGACAAGGCTAGGGCTTGGTTGCACTCATTGCCAGCTGGGTCCATCACCACTTGGGATCAATTGTCCAGAGCGTTTCTTGCAAAGTATTTTCCTCCAAGTAAAACAGCACAGATGAGGAACCAGATCACAAGCTTTGTACAGAAGGAAGGAGAGTCACTTTATGAAGCTTGGGAACGCTACAAGGAATTATTGAGGATGTGCCCTCACCATGGACTGGAGAAGTGGTTAATTGTTCACACCTTCTACAACGGGCTCACTTACAACACACGGATGACTGTTGATGCTGCTGCAGGAGGAGCTTTGATGAACAAAACAATAGACGAGGCATACACTCTCATTGAAGACATGGCTCAGAATCACTATCAATGGGCGAACGAGCGTGCTCCTCAGACATCAAAAGGAGGCAAGTATGAAATAGATGCTTTAGACCATATATCCTCTAAAGTTGATGCTTTATTTAAGAAAGTTGAAGGTTTGAGTATTAATTCTGTGGCGTCTACTTCAATTTCATGTGAGATATGTGGCTATGTGGGTCATTCTGCACTTCAATGTCAATTAGGAAACCCCCCATCCATTGATACTTCTGGTAATGAGCAAGTTAACTATGTTAATAACTTTAATCAGAAGGGAGACCCATTCTCCAATACTTATAATCCGGGGTGGAGGAATCATCCTAATTTTTCTTATAGAAACCCACCTGGAAATCCCATGCCTGCATCTAATTTTGGTCCACCTGGTTTTCGTGCTCCTCAATCCAATTTCCCTTCTCAAAAGTCAAATTTGGAAAATATGATGGAGAAGTTTGTGACGACTCAATCAAAATTGAATGAAGAGTTTAAGCAGCAACAACAAACCACGAATGAGGTGGTGAAACAATTGGCCTCTAAGATGGATTCCCTAGCTACGCATAACAAGATGTTAGAGACACAAATCACCCAATTGGCACAAAATGTTAGCTCTTCCTCTAGGCCTTCAGGCATGCTACCTGGACAACCCGAGACAAATCCCAGGAGTCATGTGAATGCTATAACTCTTAGAAGTGGAAAACAATATGAGGGACCCAAGATGAAGGAAAATGATGGGGTGGATGGTCATCATGAAGAAAAAAATGAAAATGTGATAGATGTGGATAATGAGACTCAAACACAAGAAGAAGAAAAAGTTGAAAAATATGTGGCCCCCGCTCCTTACAAGCCTGTCTTGGACGCAGAGTTAAAGCCCAGAACGCCAACTGAGACGTTTTGACTTGTTCAAACGCAAGCCGAACGGCCTCAAAGCCGTTATCCCACGTTCTGAGGGATTCTCGCCCACAAAGGAGCGGAAATAGGGGTTGGTTACACCCCACATCACCCTATAAATAACCAACTTACTCAACTGAGTAAGGGGTTGGTCGGTTGGTCGGTTGATCGATTTTCTGATATCAAAACCGCATAAGGTTTAGGTGAGCTGGCATCAAAACCGCCTAAGGTCATCAAATCTCAGCAGTTTAACGAAGAAGAAGATCTTTTGGAAATCAAAGAACTGATCAACGATCAGTTAATCGAATCCCGAGGGATCCCTTCATCAACAACCTAGTCCACTTGGCAATTAACCGAATCTTCGGCTCCAACAACTCTGTTATAGAGTTTTAACTCACTCTGAGTTTATTTCTGAAACTCATTTTAAGAGTTCGTGATTAAGTTTGCAACCCAACTTAATCTCATCAAACCAAACAGTCGGTTTTCAACAACTCTTGTCAGAGTTCTTAACTCGTTCAGAGTTCTTTACACTCGTCAAGAGTTCTAAACCGAAGTCATCAAACGCTTCAATTGTTCCAGTGAAGAAGGACGGTCGGATCGTCAACGGAGAGCAAGTTCGACGAGATCAATCGAAGGAGGCACTCCATCGCTACCAAGAAGAACCCAGTTTTAAACAAAGGGGAAAACCAAATTCGTTTTCCTCTCTTTTGTAATCGGAATCCAAATTATAACTGAGTTTGAGAGAAATACAAGTTCGAATTTTTCTTTCATTGTCTTTTTACATCAAATTTCCAACAAACACTCCCGTTTGGATCTCGACTTGTGTGGATGGAGTCCATTGTCATGAGTCCGTTGTCGTGACGTACTGGATGCAACAAGTGAGGCATTTGTTTTGGTTGGTGTCGGCTCAGTTTTGAGAAAACTTCGCCGAGGTGGAGAATTGTGAAAACGACGAAGGAGTTGAGGAAGGAATTGAGAAAAACGTGAAGAATAAGCAAAACAGGCTCCACCACACGCTGGTGTGGTGTCTGCCATGGGTGTGGCAGAATCTGTCCTGTCTGTCATGGGTGTGGTGTCTGCCACACCCTGGTATGGCAGAATCTGCCCTGTTTACCATGGATGTGGTGTGTGCCACACTAGGGTGTGGCACACTCATTTTTAGAATCTCAATCAGTTTGGGATTGTGTTTTGTTATAAATAGAGACACGTTTTTTAGGGTTTCTTTGGCTTTGTTTAGGCTTTGATTGGGCTTTGATTAAGCATTGATTGGGGGATATTTGGAGTACAAAAAGATGTATTTTTTGAGCTTTTGGTTAGGGTTTTGTTTGGAGAGATTAAGAGTTTTGTTGGTGAGATTAGTTTGTTCCTTCGAGTGATTTGTAATCTCAATTTGTACTCTTCTTCTCTATTAGTGAAAACCTCATCCCCTTCTTGCCCCGTGGACGTAGGCAACTTGCCGAACCACGTTAAAATTGGTGTTTTGTTTGTGCATTGATATTTAGTTCATTTGGCTCTCTTGGATTGGCGTTTGGTTTGGTTCCTCGACACAACTTTTGGCACAACATGCATTAGTTGAAAGTTGCATCCGACCTTACTTTAGTGGTTGACTTTTTGCAAGTTTTGTTCGAAGGACAGTCGAGTGGGTCAGGTATAGTTTCCAGAGACCCAATCTGAACAAACCCATTAGAGACGCCACATTATTGACACAAGGGCATTATAGTCATAAAAACAGCCATCCTTGGTACCTTGAACACCTTCAAAAAGCCCGAGACCAGTGCGCTAGCTAGCAAACGCGTAACTAGAAGATGCTCGTTCCTTAATAATTCTCCTGTCATCTTCAATGGAGGAAATTGAATCAGAGAGCAACTGGTTGCGAGAGCTTGAAGATGAGCTCTCAAAGGATGCCGAAATATTCTCAGAAGCCATTGATGCTCCTCAAGAGTCCGTTGTGATCAACAAGCTCGTCTCCGCTGTGTATTCCGGTCCGACTATAAGTGATATTGCAAATGCATTGGCTTTGAGCTATGAAGGCCAGAGCAAGATACAACCCATGTAAGTTTTCCTTCGACGACGACGACGATACTTTTTTTTCGTGTTTTTGTGAGAATTTTGTTGCCGAATTAATTTTTTTTTTTCCTTGTAGATTTTCGGTACCAGATAAGGGACATGGGAAGATAGAGAACAAGTATACGCTCAAGATTAAGAGCTGTGGAAATGGACTTGCAGATGATGGCTACAAGTGGAGGAAATATGGGCAGAAATCCATCAAAAATAGTCCCAATCCAAGGTTTTTTCTCCTAATCCGTATAAAAGTCTGAACTTTTTTCATAAAAATAAGATAGCCCACGTAAATTTTCTACCACAACATGTAAGATCGCTTTCAGGCTCACTCCTGCTTGATTCAGATACCAATACTACTGCTGTTTTCTCGGCGCCGTATTCTTCATGTATATATCATGTATCTATTTTCCTAGTTAAGATATTCTCTGAACAACTTAACCTGGATACTAAAAAAGATAACTTACAGACTGGAAGCTGAATTGAAACTAATAAAACCTCAAAATTTAGATTTTGTGTTTTACAACCAAGCAGACAGAAAGGGAAATGTCTTAAAACGTAGCAGTTAATTGCAACTACAAGAAACTCCCAGCCTCAGAAAATTTCTATCCTTCGTCCAATCCAAGAAAATTCTTACTGACACAAAGACATCATTTAAAGCCGCGCACTTTATTAATTAGCCATCAAAGTGTGATATGGATTAAACCCTCACTTTCCACAGTGAAAATCATTTCAGGATTGCTCCACTTTTGGCAGAATTCACAATAAATACAGAAAAACCCCACATGGCTCCACACCCTGTATTTTTAAAAATCACTCCTAATTTAAATACATGCATGCCCTTATTAAACTCTTTTCAATTCAAAATTAATGTCTGAAACCTACTTGCAGTCTTTTATTCTAAACCAACCAACTTGCAACATTCAGATATAGCGAATGCAAGTTGCGGTGTGGAAGTCTGTGTTTTCCTGTAAGTGAAAATTTTGGCCATTTGAAAGGAATTTGAATGCAAGTTGCGGTGTGGAAGTCTGTGTTTTCCTGTAAGTGAAAATTTTGGCCATTTGAAAGGAATTTGTGGAGTACAGATTTTATTAGAGCACCTTCCTGTAAGTGAAAATTTTGGCCATTTGAAAGGAATTTGTGGAGTACAGATTTTATTAGAGCACCTGCTGATCTATATATATCATTCGCGGGTGAGGGTTATTTTGGTAATTTTAGACATTTTGTCAATGGTTTAAACCGCCCAAAACCTACAGTGATGGTTCTGATAGGATTCGTATTCGCATTTGTAGGATAAGGGAAAACAAGAAAAGATATCAGCTTGAGGTCAAAACCAAATCCAAAGCCTTGGTTGTTATTCATTCAATAAGTAAATTTTTTTACCTTCAATCAAGAGTCAAAAACTGAAACCTTCCAAAATGGCAAAATTGCTTATACATTAATTGGCGAGATTCATCATGATTAAATTCAAATCTCTCCGTGTAGGCCATAGATCGGTGCATCGAAAAAGAAGCAACAAAGATAAATTTCAAACCAAGTACCTAACCAATCAATGAAATATGATTCTAAAA